GCCCATGGGGATTGGAATTAGAAGATCTTTCAGGTCCCTTCCAACCCAACCCATTCCATGATTCCGTGATCACAGTCGTGTCACATTCCCTTTCTTGAGGTTTTTACCATACAAAGTATTTTGTTGTTGATGTTTGTCGCCTTTTTTTCAAAACATTAATATCCCCAGTTAAAAAAACCAAAACAAAACAATTTGACTTGTTTGAATGTTCACAAAGAGCTGAAATATCTTTGTTTTCCACCCCAGGACTGCAATGAGAGCACAATTCTGCTGCCCAGGGCTGATCTCATCTACATCCTGTCAGCAGCAACCCAGACACTGCTGAGGAGAGACATGTCCCTCAACAGAAGACTGTATGCATGGTTGTTAGGTACTGTCCAAAATCCAGGGATAAATCAGTATTCTGAATGCCTGAAAGCAGAACAATCAATGCTTAAAAAGGCAATTTTTTTAAGCACTCGTTAGCTTTTTCAGTAGTTAACGAACAAGGGTAAAATAAAGTGTTGTTTATTTTCCATTTGTTAGGGGTTAAATAAAATTCAGCATTCATTTGGCAAAGAGCTCTTCTCTTCAGAGCTGAATTCCAGGGTATCTGATTTATTTGTGGCCCCATCCACAGCTTGCTGGGAAGTGGCTCAGTGGGCTGAAAGGAGCAATCTTTTAATTTTGTTCTTCTGGTAATAGTCTGGTAATTCCCACACAGGCTTAATTATCCAGGATAAGAGAGCTACAACTTCTCCACATCTGCCTCCTTTAACTGAGGCTAAAAGGGACAGGGCAAGAGCTGCATGAAGGCTGCCCTTGCTGATTCCATCACTGGATCTGGCCTTGCTTTTGATTTATGGGCTGCACTGGCTGTATCTGGATGCCTCAAACTGAGACATGTCTTTGGACAATTAGTTTCAAGCCAAGTGTTGAAATGAAAAGGTTAAAAGTGCAGTGTGATTTCAGTGTTCTGTGCTGCCTCTCTACTCCTGCTGCCTCTGTTTCTCTTGCAGGCTCTGATATAAAAGGTGGTACTTTTGCTCCAGACTCCACAACTTCTGAAGACCAGGCTGTTTATTTCTTTGGGAAATATTCTAAAGATCTTTTGGTTGAGGTTAGTACACAGATAAATTCATGACCCTTTAAAATACTGCCCCAAACTGTCCAGAATTATTCTCAAATGTGCCATTTGGTTTGTCCTTCACTTTTGTCCCCAAAGATAACATCCTTTGGTGATTGTATTTTCACCTCTCTCGGTGCCCGCTGGGCTGTATTTATCCCAATATTTATGTACTCACAATACAAATGGAATCTAAGGAAACCAAAGGGAAGCATCTTTGCTGAACTACCTGAATTATTGAAAAATGCTTCTCTGAACAATGCCAGCCCTTGAGAACAGATGATGAGATGCCATTGATTTGTCTGCCCCGGATGGAAAACCGAAGTTCCATTTGTAGCCGGTCCTAAACAAAAATCAAATTTAGAAACACTTCAGCCCTTAATAAAATGACAGTCTCTCTTTGATCTGTAACATGCTGATGTTTTCCTTCTCACTAGAGTTTGGTTGTGATTTTGCATCAGAAATTCCCCGAGTCTGATAATACAGAGGAGCAGCACCAGGCTTACCTGAAACCCTTCCGCATCCTCATCAGCCTCCTGGACAAACCTGAGATAGGTAACGAGCTTCTCACTGCTCCTCTCACTGCTGGTCACTGCTTGGGGGCTGGACATGAGCCCAGGGGGGGCAAGAGGCCAATGGAACCTGGTTTGGATCAGGGATAGTGTGGG